TTCAACATTTTGGAACCTTTGGGTATCAGCCGTATGTTCGTGTACTGCACTATAAATAGATATAATGAGACCCTATCTGTATGTGACAGACCTCTACCGGGCCCGTCTCCGCACTGTGAGAACGGTAAATGCAGTGGCTGCTCGAATCAGAAGAAATCCCATTCGAAAACAACAAATTATGTCTCTATCAGATCAATGTTTAGCATAATAAAAAGTGACCTTAGGATGAGTGAAATTTAAAGAATGACAGGACAAAGGCTAAACATTTCCATAAAAAAAAGTTAAAGTGAATAGATGCAAAGTGCTCCTTTTTCGTTACAACAATGGTCTTCATCGAAAGATTTTGTTTAGCGATGAGAAAATTTTTTACCAATAGAAGAAAAATTTAGCCGCCAAAATGATGTTATGTACGCACACAGCTCTAAAGAAGCCGGTGATGGTTTGGTGGGGAGCTAGCTTTGATGGCACCGCTAAGCTCCATTTAAGTGAAAAAGGAATTAAAACAGCCACTAAAAACTATCGCGACAATATTTTTTAACCTGTTGTCAAGCCTGTAAGTGATACTTTGTTTGCTGGAAGTCATTGTGTTTTCCAGCAGGATTCCGCTACAGCAACAGAACATTCCAGAGTTCATTTCTGCCTCAGATTGGCCCTCAAGAAGCCCTGATCTCAACCCAGTAGATTATCAGCTTTGGTCCAAACTGGAGAGGATGGCATACCACAGAGCACACCCTAACTTAGAAAGCCTCAAACAATCTCGGGTCCGAGCAGTTGAACGCTTTCCTCAAGAAGTGCTGCGTGGTGCTACAGGTGACTAGCCACAGAGATTAAATGCCTGTGTCAAGGCAAAAGGAGGACATTTTTAGTAATTTATTTTTTCTTTTACTATACATAGATATACATTTCATTTTCTAATAAAGTTTTGGAAACATTTCATTGTTCTGTTGAAATGTGTTTATATGTCCTTGTAACAATATTTATGACAGGACTAGGTATTCATCGATAAACTCAGAAGGTCTTTCATAATAACTAATGACATAGCCCAGACGTAATGTCAATTTACATTATAGGATGGAGGATGTGCTCTCCATCAATAATATAAAAACTAGGAATGTTACTATTAATGGATATGGCTTAAGTAATTTGTTTTGAGCTCACAAATGCATGAAAAATTATTTATATTAGGTGTTTTGTTAATAAAGGGAGAGGGAGTGGGGTCATCATTTATTTGGCAGGAAATCATTTATTCTTATTCAGCTATACCAACCATGTATCGACCACACCCTGCATCTATAAAGTGGGTACTCTTGATTAAATAATTAGTTAATGGGAAAAAACTGGCGATTGAGTGTAATCTCGGTCATATTATTTCCTTGCAAAAATTGACTAATGAACACTACTTCCTTAGAAACTATTGAACTCACAGACTTCCATGGGTTGTTGTGATACATGTTTTATTTATTTTGCTACCTCAGTAGTTTCAGACATAAAGGATCAAATTTGGTTCGGTGTCTGTCTGTCCGGTCGTCCGTCCGTCCGCCAGTCCGTCTGTCCGTCTTTTTTTTTTTTTTTTTTTTTTTCGCCCTGCCTGGCATTGTTGCCATACGGGCTTTTGGCAGCAGTGGGGCAATACGTTTGGGTTCTCGTATAACCACTGCTGCCAATAATCAACATTTTATTTATCTTTAACAATATTTTTTGGGGATTTTCATTTATTTGAAATAAAAATTAAATTGGGTATACTGTGGTGCGGCCCGGTACACAGTTGTGCACCTTTATGATGGGGACCTTGTCCTCACCGCATCCGTCCGGTCCTTAGTCTTCTTCGTTCTCCTCTGGTGGTCTTCCTGCCGCTCCCAGGGAGAAATGTGCAGGGCCGATTGTACACAAACTCCCTAAAGAGCGGGTAATTTTTTTCCTCCACTAGGCGGGGAAAATCATGTTCTCTTATGCTATACAGCTCTGTTTCCTTCAAGAGTTTAGCACGGCGTCCCTCCATTGCGGTGCAGGATACCAGGATGTGTTCTGCCGTCTCGGGGACTCCGCAGGGAGGGCACCGGGGGTCGATGTCCTTCCCATGGTCAGCCAGCTTTCCCCGGAACCCACCATGTCCTGTGAGAATCTGCTAGACCCAATAATCATGGCGAACCCAAGTAGCCTTAAGTCTGTCTTGGACGGTTGGGAAGAACTTTCTGAGGGTGGATCCTTTCCCGCTTGTCACCCACCGTCTGTTCCACTCCTGGATGGATTCCTCCCTGACTGTCTTCTTCCATTGGTTAGGGTTCTCGCAGATTCTTCTTCGGAGTCCCTCCGGTAGCGTATCCAGTCCCTGCCTCTTAATCTCGAACTTCAAGGCGTCCTCGTTGAGAATAAGATCCAGGGGCATCGCTCCGGCCAGCACCTGCACCGCCTCGTGTGACACCGTTCTATAAGCTCTCGTGACGCCCAGCAGGGCCAGGCGTTGTATGGTGGCCAGTCGTCGCTTGTGGTTTTGCTTCAAGTTTCGGCTCCACGCGGGGGATGAGTATCTCGGGATACCCAAGATGACTCCTTTGTATATTGTCATGGTTGCCGGGAACCTGAGGCCCCAGAAGAGGCCCCCGATTCTTCGAAGACCATTCATTGTCAGGGTCACCCTACCCCTTAGGTACTCTAGGTGAGGATGACGTTTCTTCTGATTTGTACACCTAGGTACGTCGCCTCCTCACCTACCCTGATCCTTGCACCTTGGATGTCCAGGTTGATAGCTTATAGCTTAAGTTGACTACAAATCCTAGAGTTTTGAATAGTTTTTCAATGTGCCTGGATAAAGAATTTTTTTGTCAAAAACTCTTTTATCTTCAATATCTTAGCAGCACTAGGAAGGATTAGGGATCATAAGTAAATTGTTAAACAAAATCAACAAGTGGCTATCCAACTAATAGATTAGAGATCTCTTTAATTTTATTCATTCAATACATGTTTGTACTATGGATACTATTAAATAGTCCAATAAATTGGTTTTGTTTGTAGCAATGGATACTATTAAATAGTCCAATAAAGTGGTTAAAATGGCATTTCATTTGATACTAGGATATTAAGTTTTTTTCTTCTTAAAATATATATGTTCAAACAATTTTCTAGGCCTGGCCATTTACTTCAGTTATGGAATAAACCACAGTACTCAAAGATGGGCAACCGACCGTGTTGAAAATGAAATCATCACCGTTCTATAAGCTCTCGTGACGCCCAGCAGGGCCAGGCGTTGTATGGTGGCCAGTCGTCGCTTGTGGTTTTGCTTCAAGTTTCGTCATGGTTGCCGGGTACCTGAGGCCCCAGAAGGCACCTCCGATTCTTCGTAGACCATTCATCGTCAGGGTCACCCTACCCCTTAGGTAGTCTAGGTGAGGAGTGACGTCGAAGTTTCTTCTGATTCGTACCCCTAAGTATGTCGCCTCCTCACCTACCCTGACCCTTGCACCTTGGATGTCCAGGTTGATAGGGTGAGCCCTGTCCGTGGAGCCTCTTATGAGTATGGCTTGTGTTTTTGCAGCGGCCATGGTTAGTTTCCGCTTGACGCACCACTCTGAAACTAGACTGGAGCACCTCTCCGCTTCCGTTTTTAGTCTGGCTCTGCTGTTCTCAGCCACGATTACCACCAGGTCGTCGACGTAGGCCGTGGCAAGTAAAAGTATCAGGAGGACGTACTTCTCCGCCTTCCCCTCCACATCCCTGCGCACTCTAAGTAGTGCATCTGTGGTTCCCTTGCCACGTGTCGAGCCGAACTACCGTGAATGGCTAGCTGCATTGAGGATCAGTCTCAGGCTAGCGGCCATCATTTGTTCCAGGACCTTGCTGACGACCGGGAGAAGGCAGATAGGCCGATAAGCTTAGGGCGATTCCTTGTCCTTGCCTCCTCCCTTGTAGAGCAATCTCAAGTCTGCAATCCTCCACTTGCTTGGGAAGTACCCCTTGTCCAAGCATTCATTCATGATGAGGAGGAGTTCCTCTTCTATATGAGGGGTACTTTTCTTGAGGATTGCAGCGTCTATGCCGTCAAGTCCTGGAGCTCGGCCGATCCTCTGCTTCTCCACGGCCAGACGGCCAGACGTGGGACAGAAGGTCCCAAATGTCCCATGGTGGGCATAGGTCGGTACCAGGCGGCTATGACGTGGTGCGTCTCACCATGCTATCAGCTTCGCTATCCTGGGACGGGTCATCCCTGGGGTAGGTGTAGTCCACATACATCGCTGCACATTCCTCGAGGGTGGTGGCCTGGGCTCCAGCCACTCTGATGCAGCCATCATCTGCTGCTGTCTTACTTTGTCCAGTGCCAACCTGTATGGTATACCCCAGGGATTCTTCTCCGACTCCTGCACTATGAACTCGTCCCAGGATTTCTTCTTCTCGAGACGCACGCCGTTTCGGTATACCCTATACCTATGCTTCGCCTCCTCTCTGAGTGCAGGTCTTCTTTCCTCATCTCTGCACTCTTGGCACCTACGCCTAGCTCTGTAGTATTCTCATTTCAGCTGTGTCAGGGTTGGCGTCCACCATTGGACCGGACGCACTCTCGCCCTTCGGCGCTGGAGGGTATTTTCCGCTGCTTCCGTGATGGCGTCCATTAAGTTCGCCACCCACTCATTAGCTCGGCACCGGGACGCGAACTCGTGTCTATTTTTATATCTTTGATTCATTAATCAGGTTGCCGGGCAACGGCGGTGCAGTGCAACACGCGTTAGCCCATTCGGCCACTCCGCCCACTAACACACACACACACACACACACACACACACACACACATCCAAACTTGTTATTTATAGTTAATTTGTTATAAAACTTACTTCTATCATCTTTTCAATGTCTATAATCGTTTCATTGTTCCCTTTAATGTCTCCCAATCCACAAAGAAAGATGAGGGTTTCAGTTCTTAAAAAAAATTAAAAATGATATTTATGAACTAAAGAAGACAAATTGTTAATTATTCAATAAAAACCTTAATTTTTATGGAAATAAATAAATTACTTTTCATCTGAAGTTGATTTCATGTTATTACAAAAGGTGATCGCCGGAAGTGGTATATGAATAACGTTTTCGTACTTGATGACAGAAGTATGTTCAATGGGTGAGTCCAACCACCTTTTACACAAGGCTGTGGCATAGACAGTGGCGTAGTAAAGGCAGGTGACCAGTACCGAAGCCCACCATAATCTGTAACAAAGAAATTGGGAAGCATTCTGTTTCTAAATAGAATAATAAACAGAAATATAAATATGAGGTATATCTGAATATGGATAACAACTAATATATCTGAACAACCTATAACCTTAAAATCAGCTAACAATGAAGTTACCAATTGACCTGTACTCAAGAGGCAACTTTGTACGATGATGTATACATTTTGTTCATACATACACGATGGGAAAATCATGACAAAATAATTCAAATGCACAATATGACCGAAACAATAAAATTCTTACTATTTTAAAAATCCAAAATATTGTTTAAGACTTTTTTTTTTCTTTATTTGATAATCTACTATCTCACCATTTCTGGATAACGAGCCAAAAATTTACAAAACCAAATATATTCTAACCGTAGAGAGAAGGTCTAGATCCATTCCGTGGGTCCGCCACGAAATAAATTTCAACCCGCCCAGACCAGGAAACTGGGTGACCGAATAGGCTAACGCGTGTGCGCAGCACCGCGAGTTGCCCGGCAACCAGATGACCTGAATATGAAATTTAAAAAAAAGTACGAGTTCGCGTCCCGGTGCCAGAGGGGATTTTAAATTCCTCGTCCTCACACTATGGCTCGGGAAAATCCCGTATAGCCAAAAAGGCGAGATAGGGAAGAACAGAAAAAAAAAAGAAAAACCCGCCCAGGCCAAGTAGCAACCTTGTCATGAAAAGGGTTGAAGGTTTCATTTTTTTAAGTGCTATTAAATATCCCACAAAGCCCTTTTATTAATATTTACTTAAAGAGTAGTATACATTACAAAACATTAGCCCCAGCATAATCGTTCAATTGAAATAAAATATTTGGGTGTTGTTACAAACTGCGTCTTCCTTAAGCCACATAGATCGAAGTCGACCATATTTACACAGGGCACGTCGTGAGGAACAAGCTATAAATAAATAGCACCTATAAATAGGTTGCATGCAGGAAGAAAAGCAATATATAATTATATACTTACTTAATTATACTTGATATAATTATATATAATCTTAAATATGGCGCTGATAACCAACAGGTTTTACGCCTTGACTACAACAACCAACCAACCAAAAAAAAATTGATATATATTTTGCTTATATATTGTCTAACCTCGGAAGTTCGAATATGTCGTGGAGCTGATCTTGAATACATTGGAGTGATTCTTTTTAATACATTATTTTGGAAACGTTGGATGTGCCCTAGTGTGCCTTCAGAAGGTGAGTGAATAGTGAATAATACTTTTATATATTAGTAATTTAAGTCGTAGTGGGAGAGCCGGAAAAGTTAAAAGATGGTGGCGTCTGTAAGTTTCAAGTCTTACAGACCTTACCTTATTGTAAATGTGAGCCGACAGTTTCATGTGCCGATCCATATTAATATTTGGATAAACGATGGACTGAGAAGGTGGCTGAATTGTGTTTCCAATTTAAAAAATTTTTGGTAATCTGCTTCTCTTTCCTTTTTGAAAATAGAATGCGACGCAATCTATTTACATTTATATAGCATTTCCAAGTCAATTTCAACCTTTTCCAAGTCAAATTCAACCTTTTCCAAATCAAATTAAACTTTTTCCAAGTCAAATTCAACCTTTTCCATTTCAAATTAAACCTTTTCCATTTCAAATTAAACCTTTTTTTTTATTTATTTAATTATCTTTAATTTTTCGATGCGTGGGTCTGTTATCGTATGAGTGGTTTTTTAAAATAACCTCCTTTTTAAGATTACATGACTGCGTTTCGAATTATTTAAGTTTTTTTGACTTATTCGATATAAGGGTGTATTTTTATGTTTCCCGATCAGTAAATTTTTAAAATGACATCTATTTTATGTTTACGCCACTGTGTTATGATTTATTTAAGTTTTTAGAATTTATCCAATATAAAGGTCTACATTTTTGTTTCCGGAGCCGTAGATTTTGAAAACGACCTCCATTTTAAGACTAGGCCACCGCGTTTCGACTTATTTGAGTTTTTCGGATATTTTTCATATGAGGGTGTATTTTTATGTTTCCGGAGCTGTAGGTTTTGAAAATGACCTCCATTTTAAGATTAGGCCACCGCGTTTCGACTTATTTGAGTTTTTCGGATATTTTTCATATGAGGGTGTATTTTTATGTATCCGGAGATGTAGATTTTGAAAATGACCTCCATTTTAAGATTAGGCCACCGCGTTTCGACTTATTTGAGTTTTGCGGATATTTTTCATATGAGGGTGTATTTTTATGTATCCGGAGCTGTAGATTTTGAAAATGACCTCCATTTTAAGATTAGGCCACCGCGTTTCGACTTATTTGAGTTTTTCGGATATTTTTCATATGAGGTCATTTTCAAAATCTACAGCTCCGGAAACATAAAAATACACCCTCATATGAAAAATATCCGAAAAACTCAAATAAGTCGAAACGCGGTGGCCTAATCTTAAAATGGAGGTCGTTTTCAAAATCTACGGCTCCGGAAACAAAAAAGTAGACCTTTATATTGGATAAATTCTAAAAACTTAAATAAATCAAAACACAGTGGCGTAAACATAAAATAGATGTCATTTTAAAAATTTACTGATCGGGAAACATAAAAATACACCCTTATATCGAATAAGTCAAAAAAACTTAAATAATTCGAAACGCAGTCATGTAATCTTAAAAAGGAGGTTGCTTTCAAAACAAGGTACAGGACAGCATAATACTAGTCCCTAAGAAATCCGAATAGGTACAATAAATCGATATCCGTAAGTGAAAATTCTACTTAGGAGAGCATAATAATAGACTTTCATATTGGAGGGGGGGAGGGGATGGCCATTATTTAAAAAAAAAATATATAATTTACAAAAACTTAAAACATTAATTTGAAATGAAAACGGTTGAATTTGAATTGGAAAAGGTTTAATTTGAAATGGAAATGGTTGAATTGACTTGGAAAAAGTTTGATTTGATCTGGAAAAGGTTGAATTTGACTTGGAAAAGGTTGAATTTGACTTGGAAATAATTGAATATCACATAGAAATATCACACTGAAAAAATCTAAAATGTTAAAATAAATGGATATGCAACTGCGTAATCAATTTTTTTTTTTGTATTTTTTATTAGCTATGCCGTCGATAATATAGTAAGTGGCCTTCATTTCGAAAAAAATCGAAAATTGACAAAAATTCTAAAGTTGATTTTGAAATGGAAAAGGTTGAATTTGACTTGGAAAAGGTTGAATTTGAAATGGAAAAGGTTTAATTTGACTTGGAAAAGGTTGAATTTGATTTGGAAAAGGTTGAAATTGACTTGGAAATGCTATATTTAAGAATTCCAATTTCTGTGCAATTGTTTGGCATATCGAGTCGGCTTGAGCTAGTACTTTGGTTGGGTTTAGACTTGCACTGTAACCAGCTATATCGTCGGCGAACACGGCGATGGTAGCATGTTCACAGTTATGACCTATTATGTCCGCCGTATAAATAGAAAATAGTAGAGGAGGAAGAATATCTACCTGAGGTACACTAAGAACATGAATATTAATTATTTAATATTATTTTCCTGAGTGCAACCCACTCCACGAGTATGGTTCGTTCCTCCCTAATCACCCTGTATTAATAATAAATATTTTTAAAAAGTATGCAAATATATTTGAGCGAATACTAAATTTTAATCATTAATTTCAAAACCATAAATGTTGTAGTTTTTTACTCAAAAGATATCAATGGCGTGTTTATTGGATAAGGCTTTCTATGTAAATTGAATATTGAAGTTAGAACAACACAACATTTGATTTCAGCCGAACCTCTTGCTCAAGTTATAAACGAGATGAAGAGTGTAATCGATAAAAGTAAAAGGAAAGGTAAAACGTAATTATGTTGACTACTAAAAGTGGATCCTCTGATGAAAACTGATATTGACATTGAATAAGAAGCGTCAGTTTAGAATAGCCTTAATGCTTAATATAACCTAAATATAACCAGCTCATTCATCACTATTCTGAACGGTAATAGCTTTTGCAACCCGTTGAGGATACTAACGAAATTTTTAATGAGTTCAGAACATTAATCGATTTTATAGAAATTATAATTTTCTATATAAAAAGTTTTAAAATGTATATAGCTGTTAGATGTGTATACAGTTAATAACTATTAAGTAATTTTTAAATTAAATTTTATCTTTTGAATATACGGTGATCGGCAGTTAATGGAACGTGGCATCTGCTGGGACCTATGTCCTCTATGGAGTCGACGTTCTTGCCAAAACTGTGCAGTTTCGCCCGGTGATCCCCATGCCCCGTGAGAAATTGTGAAACTCAGTAATCCGGGAGTACCCATTTCGCCGTTAATCGCGAGTGTACAGTCGGAAAGAACATTCTTAAGGTAACCCCTTTTGGGGTTGCCAACCATGAACGATTCTTCACAATTCTTCAATGGTGTTCTCCAGAATTATCTATTTCCATCTATTGGGTTCATCTGCAATCCTCACCGGAGATACTCCGGAACCCCTGCTGAGCGTTCTTATAGCCGTAGTAGCACTGTAGCATCTTCAAGCAGAATAAGGTCAAGAAGCACCCCTCCTGCCAAGACCTGCACTGCCTCGTGTGATACAGTCCTTAAATTTTATTTTTTAATTTGTCAAATAACAAGAAATTATTTTTCGTCATTCGTGTATTTCCTTTAATTTATATTTCCATTAATATTTTGAACCCGCTCACAATTTTTTGTGGTGGTTAATCGTTTTAAATGAATATTTTATACCGTTTATAATTTTTACTTTTGCTTCGAGGCATAGGGAAATACCTATCTCTAGTCAAGGTAAATGGGTAAGAGAAAGTTGGGCCGCACCACATTTTATGCTTATTCTCATTTGAGATTACAAAGGACCATTGTCTACTGACAATATTTCTTATATTTTATAAAGGAGAGATAGAGTTCAAAACCAGCCAAATCTATTAGCATTTTTTTCGTTTTATTTATTTTTTTAATTAACAAATTATAAATGGATTTTCTTGTTAAGTCTTCCCTCCGAAAACTGATAAATGCCATCTGAATTAACTGTCTTAATAATGGATTAAAATTCTTTCTAATAATAATTCATTTTGTATGTTACTTGTTGTGACCATCTTGGTCCCCTTGGTATTGGTTCCCCTTTGAAGTACTATTTCACCGTATTGGTCTTAGGTTTATCAACAGTTCAAATAAAATTGTTAAGTACAGTAGACTAGCAAACGCTTGATTTCATTGATTCACGTTTCATTTATCTCTCTCTCCTGTATGTAAAGTTTTTTTATAGCCCGTTCTGTGGGTAGGTTTGTTATCTGTACAAACAAGTTGGTAGATGTGACAGGATTAATCGATAAAATAATTGCTTTAAAATTACGTTTTAATTTTAATTTCAAATATTCGAATTCAGGGACAAGTTTAATTTGATTAGTATTTAATATTGATTCACGAAACGTTAAATATGGCTTCTGCGAACTGTTTAATAAATAAAATATGCAGAATTTACTGAATATATAGTTTCCAATACTTGTGTTTTAAACAGAGCTCTCCTTATCAAAACAATTTAATTTCAGTTTTAAACATTTAATAAGTGAATACATCTCTGCTGGTTTTTAATATCAATGAAGTGGTTGAGGAAGAAGCGCAGGGATCTCCTGAAGCCTCGCTTTCCCTCCACATGTGGGGGACAAGTATGGTTTAGAGTACGGTTTATGGTTTAAGATAATATTAATTCTATTTTATTCAATTATTTTTATTCTATTATTTATATTTTCTTTCTTCACTATGATATTTTATTTTGTTCTTATTTAGCTTTATATTATTTTGAAATTACCTTATTTATTTATTTATTATTTTTTTAAATTTGTAAATATGGTGTGAATGTGCTCTCAGAATTCTATTATCAATGTCTTTTATTGCGACAGAATGTAATATTTATCAATAAAGAAATAATCCACTAAAAAAAAATAAGTGAACAATTACTTTTATTTAAGTTGAACCTAAAGGAAAATATTCACTATTTTTATTTGTTTCTCTCTATGTTTTACTTTCTCTGTCACTCCTCTCTTTCTTTTAATCGATGTTAAAAAAAAAACACATAAGATATTTATTATAGTTGGCATTGACATTTTTGTAGTATGATTGTTTATTTGTTTTCTATATCGAAAGAGAAAATAATGCAGGTCCATTATGTCACTTATGGATTAATACTAAGCTCATATTACACAGAAAACAGAAAAAAAAAATAAAAAAGTTAGAATAATTTACTGACCACCCGTAATTTTGCATTAGTTTAGACTAAAGAATTCCTTTATTATATTGCTATATTAATACACACTATTTATTTGTATGATGTTATAATGTTGATATATATTTTAAAACAAATAAAGAAAAGTTTTAGATAGAACAATTATTTAATATCTCTTCTCACCTTTCGATGAGAGGCCTGTCTGAAGCTGCCAGATACCGAACGCCGTGGACAGAAGTAACATTACAGAAATCCGTCCAATGGTCACGAATTCTTTGTAGCTCTATTTTCATGCACCTGTAATTCCATGAATTATATTATTCCAGGTAACCTTTTATTATATTTATAATTTGTAATAATATAACAAGGCTATTTAGATCCACTTGGATATGTGAATGCTCCTAAAATGAGATCCACTTGGATATGTGAATGCTCCTAAAGTGAGATCCACTTATCAGCGTTTTTACTTATTTGACCGGATATATTTATCTTAATATGTTTATTAAAATAAAACAACAGTGCTCAAGATTTCAAGATTGGCCTCCTAATAAGGACTCGACCAGTTGCCACGAGACAAGACAGCTTCTGTAATAACCCACTCGTATCCCAAATCATTGAGTCTGATAATTTGATATTTCGTCGCCACAACTGTCGTTATTAATGGGGTCATGGTCAGCATAGGTCGTGGTCGATTTTTAAAACTAATGACCCCTTTTTTCGAAATATTAACATCCGCCAGAAACTAATTCAATAGCTAAGTCAATAGCTTCATCTCATCCTTCTCATCGTACGATCTCATTGTACCCATTTGCTTTCCACTTAAAGCGTAAGATAATTTGAGCACAATATCGAAAAAAAAGGTGACCTTCAAAAATATTGAGCCGTTTGGCGTAACCCACACTTCAAATTTGTCAAAATACCGAGGTTATATAAGCTAAACGGCCTAATATTTTTGTATGCTACCCTTTTTTTTTATTTTGTGATCAAATTATCTTACGATCCGAGTGGTAAACAAATGAGTATTTACGAGTTTTTAGTATCTAATTAAATATTCAAAGTTTACCGACCTCCAGGTTGAAAACGCCTCAATTCCGAGAATTTTCGTAAATAAAATAGTTGTAAGTTACGATGAGATGTAGCTGTTCTGGCGGACGTTAAAAATCCGATAAAAAGGGGTCTGTACCACGGACTAACATTAACATTTGCGAATATTTAAACTTGGTGTAGTTGACGGATGCATAACGAATGAAAGTTAAGTTGAATAGGTGTTGGTGTGTTTCGGATGTTGACACGCAGCTATAGGACATATTTTATTTTCCAGGAGTCTAGTGGAAGGCACCCGACTGCTACACCTATTTAAATTATTTCTCAATTGACTTTAATTTCCCTGACAATCCGCCACGGGTTAAAATGTAATAGAAATATAATTACATTACTTTAGGGTGAATAGGTTTATTTCCGCAATATATTTAAGTATTGACAGTTGATATTTATCATATATGATCACAATCGTGTAAATGATATGATATTAAACTAACGAAAATTGAGAATACTTAAAATATAATAAAATACTATCACGAGATTTCAGAGAGTAATTTGAACCGTACAAAGTGAAAATAGGTCGATTCATTCGCTCCAAATCTCGTAACATGCCTTTTTACTGACAGATTAACCACATTTTATACAATAATTTGTCAGCATTTTGAGCTCTAACGGTTTCAAAATGTTCATATGGATATTTGAGCGGAAAAAATAAAAAATCGGTCCAGCCGTTCGCCCTATAAATCGTTTCACATCCACACGTTGTTTAACCGAATTCAGGTAAAAATATTTTTAAAAAATAAAATATATATATATATATATAACTTACGTCGGTTCGAACTCGGAAAGATAAAAAAAAGAAAGAAAGAAGAGGTTTGAAATGAAACGCGTGGTTGCTCAAATAAGACTGCCTTTATTCTCTCCGTAATGCTATATATATAGCATTACGGTTTGTTTACAACTATTGTCTAGGATTAACTCTCATATAAACTTACATCTAACCATAACTCCCCCCCGCCAGTTTATGAACACTTCTCATAAACTAACGCAGGGTTAGTGATATAATACATAACAAAACATAATACATAACAAAACAAAACAAAATAATCTTCGTAACAAAAAAAAATAATCTTCCTTGGCGTTCCCATACAGCCATAGCACAGAACAAATAAAATTAAACATTTTCCCGTAATAAAAGATTTACAACTGAAACAAACCTTCTACCGTCCTTCCATAGCTTGTAGGAGACAGAAAAGAGGATATACCACTATTTACGACTGACCCGGTTCTATCGGGAGTTTCAACTGTTCTATGTGAACAGTCCTTCGTTTCTTAGGATCGTTCAGACTCTGAATGGTACAAAGGTTGTGTTCGCGAAGTACAATCACTTTGAATGGTCCGTCGTAGCGTGCTAGTTCTTTCCCCCTATTAGAACCTACCCTACGATAGACTGTCATCCCTATCTTCAAGTCCCCCATTCTGTCCTTGAGGTTCAGATTGGCCTTCTCCACCCTTTTCCGTTTTTCCCGCTCTATTTTCCCTCTCGTTTTTTCCCATACTTTCTTTATCTCTGCCCTGTTGCAAGTGATCCGTTGAGCTTGTGCTTCATCCGTGAGTGTTTCCATCCAATCCCGTCGCCGTATATTCACTCCAAACAATACCTCGACCGGAGAAAACCCTGTAACGGAGTGGATCGAATGGTTATAGGCCGCAACTGCTCTTTTCATAGCTACATCCCCTTCCAATCCCTGCTCCCCTTGATAAATACGTAGGTGGTCGCTTAACGTGCTGTGCAACCTCTCGATATTCCCTCTGCCCTTTGTATGTCCCGGAGTATTAAAATGCCAATCTATATCTAAACGTTTAACCTCCTCGCGTACGGTACTGTTGTCGAACTCCCTCCCTCCATCCGACGTTATGCGATCAGGCACTCCGTAGAACTGGGCCCACGTTTGTAGAGCCCCCACAACCGCCTCCGACAACTTATCTCTTACTTGATGTGTCATCGCTACCTTGCTGAAGAGGTCGATCATCGTAATCCACTTAAACCCCCTCCAGGTAAAAGTATCGACTTGCACATCCTTCAATGGTATGTCTCCCGTAGGGGTTTCCTCCTGTAATCCTTGAGGTGGCCGTCTATCGTATTTAGTGCGCGCGCACACTTCGCATCTCCCAATGATTTCTGAAATTGTCTTCCTCATGCCATCCCAGAAATACCTTCTGCGCAACGCTTGAAACGTCTCTTGTTCCCCCCGATGGTTGGTCTTGCCCTGGTGGTGTGCCAATGTTACCTCCCTCTGCTGCTCCTTGTCCGTCACCGTTTCGACTAAGTATTTACACCTGACAAACGATCTGTCGATGCCTATTTTTTCTGATCTCCAGAGTTTCTTGATTTTCTCCCAGACGGTTGCATTCCCCACATATAGGTGGTGAACCTTTCCCGGCTCCGAGGCGTCCTGCAGAGCCTTACGAATTTGTTCCTCTTTCACCCCTGGTTGGGACCAAATGGTGTTCACCTTCTTCCTTCCATACTTACTGAAGTCAATCTTCATGAGTCCCGACGTTCTGGTCTTCCAAATTACCTGTCGTCGCTTATCATTGATGATCTCTTCGCACTCCTCGATGTCTGTAGGCCTTTCTTCCACTGAGCTCTCTTCTCCTCTCGATCCCTCTGCTTCCACATTCCCTGGTTCCCCTTCCCCTTCTGGTGTCCACGCTCTCAAAAACTGCCGCACGTCCCGCGACGACTCTCCTTCTTCCTCCTCGATAGCATTTATCATTATGGCTCTGGACAGCCAGTCCGCTACCACGTTGTCTTTACCTGGTTTATATACGACCTCCATATTGTACTGGCTTAGAAATTGTTTCCACCGAGTGACCCTAGCCGATGATTCCTTTAAATTACCAACCCATTGCAACGGTCTGTGATCGGTATGCACCCTAAATTTTCTGCCAAAAATATACGGCCTAAAGTGTCCTACCGCCCATACAATGGCCAAGAGTTCCCTTTCCAAGGCGCTATATCGCGTTTCCGCATCTGTAAGCCGCCGACTCGCATACGCTACTGGCTGTTCCCCCTTAGTTCCCTCTTGAGCAAGTACTGCCCCCAACGCATACTCGCTCGCATCTGTAGTGACAATAAACATCTTCGCAAAATCGGGGAAAGCGAGTACCGGCTTATCCTGTAACCGCGCCATGCACTTCCTTACGCTGTCCTCTATCTCCGACGTTATTATTATCTTCCGGCCTTTCTTCAGAAGATTATTAAGAGGTGCTAAATACTCCGCCATTTCCGGCACGAACCGACGGTAATAGTTGAGTGTTCCCAATAATCTGCGGATCCCTTTTACATCCCTGGGCATCGCCATATTTTGTATCGCCTCGACTTTCTGTTTATCGGGCCTGATCCCCTCCTTTGAAATGGAATGTCCCAGAAATGTTATCTGATCCTGTCCCAGAATCGATTTTTCCGCCGACAACTTCAGCCCAAACTGTCTTAATCTGTCGAATACGCGCCCTAAATGATCGACGTGCTCCTCTTCATCCTTACTGAAGACTAAGAGATCATCCATGTAGACTTGACAGAATTCTTCGTCTAATCCTCTCAAGAATTCGTCCATAAACCTCTGGAAAGTTATGGGAGCGTTCTTTAGTCCAAATGGCATGCGAGTAAACTCGTAATGCCCCCTCTCGAACGAAAACGCCGTTTTGTGTTGGTCCCTAGGGTTCATACGAATTTGGTGGTAGCCCGCCTTTAAATCCAAGGTACTAAAAATGGTTGCCCCACTAAGCCTGTCAATAATATCATCGAATCGCGGAAGCGGATACTTCTCGTCTAGGGTGTTGTCATTGAGCTTTCTGAAGTCTACCACCACCCTGTACTTCTGCTCTCCCGACGACGTCTTTTTCTTCACCGCCCACAGGGGACTATTGTATGGTGACGTGCTGTCCACGATGATGCCCTGCTTCTTCAAGCTTTCGAGCTCCTCCTTGATATGGCGACGTAAAGCCTGCGGGTAACGTCGCTCCTTCACGTACGTCACCTTTTCCTGTTTTAACGGGATCTCATGTGCTGTCCTTCCAGTTGCGCTCAACACCTCCCCCTCTTTAAAAAAAATATCCGCGTATTCCCTCTTTATCCTTTGGACCCAATGTTCCGCTTGTTCTATTGCCCCAATGTTCCCTTTTCCTCCCACTCTCCCTTTCTTACACCGGTACCTCTTTCCTCCCATTCGTACCCTCCAACCTGTTCCCCTGTAGTTTATTCGTGGTCTCACTCTACTCAATAGGTCACATCCGATTATACCCCCATATTCTCTCGGCATATTCTCTACTACATGTACCCTCAACTTCCCACTTCCTGGGATCCATTTGTCTAAATCTAACTCTACTTCCCCTTCTATCCTACATGGGCCACCCAAAGTGATCAACCTACACGTACATTTTTTTATTCCCGGTATCCTCTCTCCTTTACACAACTCCTCCAACATCTGCCTAGATACTATTGTATTCGAACTTCCTGTATCCACCAGACACTTTCCCTTCCCCACAACACTTATGATTGGCAAACCAACGCTCTCACCTCCAATATTATTTACTACCGCGTGGCTGCCTCCCCTCTGCTCCTCTCCTCATTCGTCTGATCTTCCTCTCCTGTCCGCGACGGCTCCCCCTTCTCCACTCTTTCTGCTGCTTCTGCTTCTTCGAGCTGCTCTCACCACCGGCTCCTCCTCCTCGGTTCCAGATGTTCCCGACGAATCGTCCGACTCCGATGTCGCTCCTCTCTTCCTCCACAATCTCTGGGCGTTCACCTCCATCGGCTCATCTCGGCCCACTTCCCCCCGTCTGCTCATATACGGGCATTGTCTAGCAATATGCCCCTCAGTTCCGCATTCGAAACATCGGGTTCGCGGGCAATTCGCCACTAGGTGACCTATCTTTCCGCACCCGTGGCATCTCCTGTCCTCCTTTGTCCATTTCCTTCTCTCCTTCCCTGGCTTTTTCTCCCTTATCGCCGTTCTTTCTCTCGCGCTAACTTCTCCTCCTCTTTTCTTCCAGCCTTCCTGTCTCGTTCTAAATCTACCGGGTTCCGCTCTCCTGTACGATACTCGGTTCCACCCGTTCTCATTCTCCTCTTCTCCCCTGGCTGCTTCTTCCTCCCGCGCGCTTGCATCAATCATTTCCTGGGCACACTCTACAAAACCCTTGTCTCTAGGTAGTCCATCCTTCTTTCCCGTGTCTCTACCCAGTTGTACTTTAAGGATGGTTGCCAGGAACGCCATTCTTGCTCCCGTTTCCACTGCATCCGCTACTTCCCTCGTCTTCTCCGTTACATTGTTGAATCGTGCCAACAGGTTTGCTGCATATTGTCCGTTGGACTGATACGGCTGTTTCTTCTCTCGGAACATCTGTAAGATGTCTTCTTCTGGGGCCCAACGGCCCCCTCCAAATGCCTTCTTCAGCCTGTCCTTCACGGTGCTCCATGGGGTGTCCTCATCCGCCTGGATCATGTTCAGCACACTCCTTTTAACCCGGCATACCAAAGCTGCCCTCAATGCGTTGGCATCCAGCGGATCTATCAAGTTTTCCCCTTCTTTGGCCGCTATACGCGATATCACCCGGTCGCCTCCCTTTAGAAAGTGGTTCAACTCACCTGTTCCTCCATCAAATCTCTCCAGGTCAGATATAGCTCTCCTCAGGTCCTGCGATGTCGCCGTTCTCACCTTCAGCCATTCCAGCGTCGTCGCATGTGCTGACGCTAACGTCTCCGTAGGTAGCGGAGGAAAGTCCCTCGCTAATGCTTCTGCCAACGTAGGAAACGCTGCCGGTGCCGCTGGTGCCGCAATCGGTTGCGCTACCTGTGCTGTAGGCGGTACTGGTGGTGGTGGACGTACTGGCGGTTGACCTACTCCGTTCGGCATCCTGTTTTTTTATTTATCTCCACGACGTGAAAAGAAAGAAGAAAAAAAAAATAAAAACGAAAAGACAACTACAAAAGTAAACTCTTTAAGATCCCCGGGTTTCGGCACCACTTACGTCGGTTCGAACTCGGAAAGATAAAAAAAAGAAAGAAAGAAGAGGTTTGAAATGAAACGCGTGGTTGCTCAAATAAGACTGCCTTTATTCTCTCCGTAATGCTATATATATAGCATTACGGTTTGTTTACAACTATTGTCTAGGATTAACTCTCATATAAACTTACATCTAACCATAACTTATATATAATTATACATATATATAATTGGGATTATATTGTTATAGTTGATATCAATAAATGTCCATAGGGAAACATTATAAAATAAATAAGAACTTGAAAAAAACTTTCTTGATCTCTATTTGATTGAATCTTTATTTTTTATACCGTTTGATAAAATGTCAAGTTCCTATTTATTTTGTAATAATTTTTATTGTTGTTGTGAACTGTTCGTGTATATACACTGATTTTCCATACTTTTATTTAAATGATTTTTTTATTATACGGTGCAAACCTTTAATCATTACTTAATCTTGCTTTTTATCATCCTTCCATTTTAAAATATATTTTTTAAGTAATTTGTGTTCCAATAACTTTTGTTCATTCATTTATTATGATAAGGTAAATTATTTCATCTTATCATTTATTTTAGTTTATTCTTTTATCTTTTTTTTTTTTACGTTTATATACATTAACGTTAGTAAGTTTTTAATCAAATAACAGATAAGGAAAATTTATATGTACAAATTATTTGAAACTTTATAAAAAAGATAAAAGAATAAACTGAAATAAGATGAAATCATCATAAGATGAAATCAAAAACTGACCAAGATGAAATCATCTTTATCTTATCATAATAAATGAATGAATAAAAGTTATTGGAAATAAATAAGCTATTAGTGAGTAAATGAGGGAATAAACTGCAATCCTTAAGATGAAAGAACTTGGTAAACTGTAATGAAGTAATAATCGGTATTATTTTCGGTCAATGAACTGTATTATGTTTAAGCGCCATTTTATAAAGTGAGTATTTGCCAATACTGTTCTGCTGTGAGAAGCCGCGTTGTATATTTCGTATTATTAATATTTTTGATGAATGATTTAAAATTAATACACGGTTAACGAGATCGGTTCGCCATTATTAGTGGGTGTTTATTATTATCATGTAGGCCTATATAAATATGTTGTATTGTCGTCATTACCACATACTCATATGTTCCTCAAATGCTCCTCTCATTTATCTTCAAATTATAATTTTATATAGTTCTTCAAGGTCTTGGAGGACCAATACCTCTTGGAAGAGTGAATCTCCGGAACCTGCTCAGAAGATCGTTGATGGTTCGAGTTGTCCTCGTACACTGTGAACATGTTGGACTCTTCAGACCTACTGGCTGGCAGGAGACAATGGACAGTCAATCGCCGAACTTGCGCAGGACGGAGTTCGCCCATACGAGAAGAAGCGTAGCTTATTTATAAGTTGTCATTTAACTACTACCTGAAGATTGATTTTATTTTAATTCTGTTGAATGATGACTAACATCTCTGTGTTAGTACTCCTCGTAACAGACATCAATTCGATGAATACTTGTAAAACTTTTACAAATAAATAAACATTTTCTTATGTACGAAATTCCGGAGAAATGTAAGTAAAAAGTTGTTTCAAGACGCCAGTTTAAGCCAAGCAATATATAAATAGGTATCACAACAAGAGTTTATTCTCTGATCCAGTAGTAGCAACTACTCCAGGGCAGTTGCACCACTACCTTCAATTATATATTGCGTTTTCTAATATATTCAATAAAGACCTTGGAAGTGTTTAGCTAGTGATAATATACTTTAACCTGTTATTTAATCGTGAATAAAATTAATAATAAACAAGAAAAAAAACTTCAGGAATACGTGTTGAGTTATAAATATATACAATGATAAGAATCTGACTTTGAGACTCATTTTCTTAAATCCGAACTTCACGAATCAGTTATAAATTTATTTATTTTCGGTGCCAAGGTTATTTAAGAAACCCCTATTATCATCTTCCTCCTCTGTATCTCCATTCTGGAACAATGGCGAATAACGTCCTAACAAGGTTGATGAAAAGATGGATGAGGGATCTCCTCGCCTAAATATCAATTAATAGTGCGCAAAAATGAATAGAAATATTTCTGTTTGCTACTTATTAGATTCGTTTTAACTAAAAACCCTATTGTTTTTCGTCAGGAATTCTCTTGTTTGTTGGTTAACATAAAATACAAACAGTGAGTATTATTATTTTTTAAAATAAATTAAACATAAGGAATACTAATTTTGTAATCCAACAGTTGTTTTCGACTTTTCTCAATTTTAAATAAATAAAATTAAGTAATAGTTCGTTTAACGATAGAAAGATATGAGCCGTTTATTTTGAAAGTGGCCTAACTCCGTTTTTCAATTTTTTGCCGGTTATCATGGTTACATGTACAACTGCATACTATACATCAGTAAAACATTTTAAGTTGCATATATTCCGAGCAAATACGATAAATTTTTGACACATAAGTTTTCAGAATTAGTTCAATAACTGAACCGTGTAGTTTGAAAGTGGCGTAACTCTATTTATTTTATACTTACATCAAGATATTTACTATTGATAATCGTTGGAAATGAAAAATTGTATTTGATAATTTTATTGTAAATGAAATGAGACAAAAAGATTTTGTATCAACACAATTATTAAAAGACGCAATTTTTAAAAGGGTAAAGAATTCTGATGGAGAATGAATAAACTGGTTACAAATGATTTGGATGCATTTTATCAGAAATGAATCGTTTACAATTTTCTATAAGACAACAATGAAGTCCTGAATTTATTACCACGTCGGGGTAGACCAAGAAAATTCGAAAATATTGTATTGACACCACTCTATAAAAATATCAGACAAATTACAACAAAATTTAAGGACATGATTGACCTATTGCGATATATACCACCGGAACATCATGACTACTTCAAATCCCTTTCACACGCGCAAAATGTAGATGAATAGTAAATTGTTTGTTAATAAAATGTTTGTAATTTTGTATGTTCTGTAATTAAAAAATGTTTTGAATCGCATAAATTGTGTTTCCGAAGTGTTTCAAAGATATGTAAAATAAATTGAGTATTGTGTTTTTCAATTTGAAGCATCTTAAATTATGTTGAATGGACTTGGGTACCTTCAAATTTTATAATGAATCTGGTTGTTAATTTTGAAAGTGGCCTAACTCCATTCTTGATAAGAAAACGCACATTATTCACTTAATAATTGTTACTATTTTAATAGGAACCATAAATTTAACACCCTTAGAGACACTTAAGCAGTATGACTCATTAGTATCCTATACGTATATTTTTAAATTTATTGAAACGCAAACCCTTAAATATCTCGATTCGAAGATAAATGGAGGTAGGCCACTTTCAAAATAAACGGCTCATATATTGAACCAGACGTTCGCGTAAAAATTTCGTCTCCATTCAACAATGTTAGTTTTCAGAAATTATTTAATAAATTAGGTATTATGTTTTTTGAAATCCTCTGCAATATATATATATATATATATATATATAATATATATATATATATATATATATATATATATACAGAGGATCGTGATCGGCTCTAACGAGTTTGATTGGATCCGTAATTTCAATACACAATAAATAGTGTTTAATGTGAGCTCTGTCTCATTCTAATTGAAATTGTCCGAACAGACTTCAATATCAAACTTCAACAATTTAACCTCTCATTGTTCATAGCAATACAAAATGACAACATAAAAACTATGATGAATTTGATAATTAACTTAATGATACAAAATGTTTTTCCATGTTTACAAACAGTTTTGAAATTACGTGTCCAATCAAACTCGTTAGAGCCGATCACGAGGACATTATAAAAAAAAAAAAGTAAAATCGATTATATAAAGTGGCACTTCAAGGAAGTCAATTTTGAGGAAAAATATTCTGTAACATCCATTGCTTTCAAATACGTAATTTAATAGAAAACAAACGTCCGTGAAGAACCTGGACTATTATTTACGCCACTTGAATAAAATACTTTAATAATAAAATACGCCATCAAAAATACTTTTAACTGGTAACATTACTATTTATATAGTACTATTAGAGTATCGATGAAAGTATGGATCTCTGTTAAAACTAAAATGATTTCTAGAATTCAATTATTCCTTCCCAAAGACTTCCTTAAGACAGTGGACTTCTATTAGGGTTACTTAAACTTCCCAAAGGTTTAAAATCCTATAAGCCAATACTATAATTATGTATTTCCAAACTTTTTACAACGTCGGTCCTTTAACAAAACCATTACGATGCTGCATGTGCCCGAGCAGTTAACCTTGAGCATGTGGCTAAACTTTGATTAATGTCCTAATTACTTTTGGAGGCTAATTTCTCTTCGATAAAATATCGTTATGTAATTAATTGTGAATGTTCTAAGGCAAGAATCATTAATATAAAAAAAATAAATAAAAGATATATGTAACCAAAATTCACAAATGGTGGATTGAGTCATTAAACTTTAATTATTAGTATAAAACAAACTAATCGTTTAATTATTGTTGAAAAGATGATCTCTAGAGTTTATTTTTCGTGGGACAACGAAGACAATTTCAGACAAAAGTTCGATACCCGCCTGAGAAGAACAAAATGATTTAATGATGCTCTCACGGATCATGCCCGCTTAATGCCTAATGGAATCGCAGGCAATATCCGATTCCAACGAATTCGGGACTATATTTAATTTTTCATATCAAATCGATAAAGTTATCTGTCGTTGTCTTTTATCTTATTTATCGCCTATTAAAAGAGTGAGATAGACACTCTAATTATATTTAGCTACTACGGTCACTACTATCGGGTTTCGTAATTAATTAGTCGCGTGCTGTGAATGTGTCTATAATGGCCGATGAGAACTTGTTCGCTCCTAATACGTAACTGAAACTGAATGGGTTATGAAAACTGTGAAATTTATACTAATTCTGTCTAGATAGTAATCTAAAAGATGGGATGATACTAAAATTAAAAATATTATCTAATAAGATATGAATTACCATTCACACTTAGTTTTAAAACTTTTAAAAATAAATATAAATGTTTACATAATAGCTGATAATTGTTTCCACTAATTCCACAAATTAAATATCCTGAACACTATTTGTAATTTTGTAATTATTCATTTAATATTATAAATTTGTATGTATAGGGAGCGGGGTAGCTCAGTGGTAGGGCAGTATAGGGCACTGAGCTTCCAATACAAAGGTCCCGAGTTCGAACCCCGGCTCATAGCAGAAAATTTATTTATCTGTTTCATTGGCCGTGAGGCGACCTTGGGTCAGGAGTCCCTCCTGGGGCACACCCAGCCTCTATAAAGTGGGTACCCTTAATTAAATAATTGGTTAAGGGGGAAAACCTGGCGGTTGAGCGTGATCTCGGTTAAATCACCTCCTTGCACAACCGTTGACCTAGAAACAGTGCTTTCCCTAAATAGTACTGAACCCCAGACCCTTCATGGGTTGTAGTGGTACAGGTTTATGTATAATATTAATAATATGTATGTATAATATTGTAAATTATAAATAATATTATAAATTTGTATAATAGTATATGACCTATTTTGAGGACAATACCTAATGATCTGAATTACAAAAAGATAATAATAGTAATAATTTAGTTTCAGTTATTATTTTTATTATGTATCACTTTTGAGAATTTGTTAACTTTTAACTAAGTCTCGCTAAGACTTAAAGTGAGGCAGAGCAAATCAGCCTACAATTAAATGAAGATAAAACAAAATGCATAAACTTGAAATTGTAACCCAAAAATCTGAGTAAAAGGGATATATTTTCGGAGAGTAGACATCAAGTACCTCAGATCTAGAATAACCTCAACGAATGACCAACGGTTAGAAATAAACCAGCATATAACAAGCTCAAACAAGGCACAAAATCTCACGAAATCGGAACAAAGTTTGGACACATTCTATTATTATTCAAGAATCAGAATGTTATTTAGTTAGAAAATTTTCAATGATGATGATGGGATCAATAATAATTCTTATTGTCTATTCCTTTAATGTTCGATACTAATCTTTTAGAAATTAGAAAATGATAATGTTTTCAGAATAATATATATAAATATATAAATATATATATATATATATATATATATATATATATATATATATATATATATATGTGTGTGTGTGTGTGTGTGTGTGTGTGTAAATAAATATTTACTTTCATGTTTGTAAATAGGTTAAAAAGTTTATTTATTCTTATCGATTTTTGAAAGTAATTACAGAAAATAAATTAATCACAATCTCTTTAGTGGATCTTGCTCTAAAGTTCTTCACCATTATAGACTAGGACTACCCCTCGAGATAAAGTCCATCATGTGGCATTGTCCAATATTTCAT